ATAAAAAATAAAAAATCAAAACCTAAAACGAAAACTATATTAAACAGAAATTTAATATTTTAAATACATAAACATCTTAAGTTTTCCTAAGCTCTTATTTATATATTGTGCTTGATTACATACAAAGTGCCTCGCTCTTTCCGTTGCACATGTGCATCTTTTGTGTTTATTTATTTACTTTCTGAAAACAGATGAATGGGCTTCGCCTCCGATAAAAATCAGTAATAAGGGCACAAAACCAATTGAGTTTCCCTCTCCACGAGCCCAGGGTAAAGTTGATAGGCGGCAACCGAGGAGGAAGAATAATATTTGGAATCCTTAATTAGCGCCGTTCGTGTTGTGGGGTTAATGATAAGGCTTGTGGGAGTCCTTGAATGATTTCATCAACCTTACGAACAACACACAACACAGCCTGCAGCTACCTAAATAAAAACCGCAACATTATCCTTTCTCTGTTTTCCATTTTATTTGTCACAAGTATTTTGGAGTTCCGACTTTCTTGTCTTTCTAATGTAATTTCCTTTTATCAGCAAAAATTTTTTATGAGACTGACTCTAAAAATATATTTGATTTAAGAGAAGCAAAGAAGAGAAATGAATTTTTTAATTTATTAATATCATAATATTAACTAATATTATAATATAATTGGTAAAAAAAAATTCATCTTTCCCTCAAGACAAAAATATCCTAAAGGTTTGTGAACTAAAAATTTTTTAAGTTTGTACCTTTTTTTTTTTTTGAACGATATTACATGGGGCGGCCTTGAACCCTGCCCAACGGAGGAGGGGGATTGGGGAGGGGGAGTGCACCTTCATGTGTGGTTGGAGATTACTTGACCCGAAAGCCAAATGCTTTTAAGTTTGTACTTTAAAGTAATAAAATGTTGACATTTATATATATGATAATGATTCAAGCATGATAATCTAAGTACAATGTGATGTGAAATCTCCAAATAACTTCTATGTCATTAGGGGTTTTTTTACCTGGTTCCTTAAATAGGAGAAACATTATGCTTGACTTTTGATATCGGAAATGTTTTAGTTTGAATAATGAATTTCATGGAGGTTCAGAAATTAAAAAATAAAATAAAATATTTAATTAATTTGGCAAATCACAACAAAATTGAAAAACAAAAAGATTGGGGCTTTAGGCTCAAGCCCAGTTTGACTCCACTACGAAAACTCTATTTGGGCCTAAGAATATGGGCTCGGTATGTCCTTCAGTCGAAAGAGTCTTTCATTCCTCTGAGCCGGTTTCTATTATATATCAAATATAGTCGGCCGGCGGCGAGAAAATAGAAGGAAAATGTGCATCAGCACCGTCCGACATAGAAGATGGTGATTTCAGGGAAGAGAAACACACCCTCTAAAATGTAACAAGGCATGTTGCAATGAGAGGCATTTTGGTATTCGTTAGTATGTGAAAGAATGTTGTCAAAAGATGTCAATAGGGTTTGCGGAGTATCTAAATTTTTTTGTTTTTTCAATTGGGGAAAGATTATAAAGAAACTGGAATGAAATTCGTTATTTTGTTTGTGAAATATGGGGTTTATCAACTTTGAAATTATGGGGTTAATCGATTTTTCTGTTTTGTTTTCAATTGGGGTAACTATCATGTTGGTATTCAGCATTCACTAGTCTGTAGAAGATTGTGATTAATTTGATACTATTCTTAGGTTTATCAAATGGGTGTATAAAACGGTACTTTTTTTATCTTTGATCATAAGCAGGATTTATGTAATTTCCGTAATTTAGAGAGTTAGGGTTCCTAGTAAGGAATTTAAAGAACTTATACCAGCCACCATTGAAGGTATTGGAAGAGTGTAACTTGTTAGTTTGTAGAAGAATGTCATCGAAAGATTTCAGCACTCAGCAGGGTTTGCTAAGGATGGGAAGTTTTTTGTTTTTGAATTAAGGGAAGACCACATGAAAGCTGGAATGGAAGACCTTCTAAAGTATGGATGGATGTATAACTACAGTCAATCAGCTTTTCCCAAATTTTTGTTTGATAAAAAACCAGCTTTTTCCTAAGTTCTTTGAAGTTTGAACATTTTGGAGAAGAGTACCGCAAGAGACTAGCATGTCCGTGTTTAAAGAGTAATTGAGGAAGATGGTTTTGACTTGTAAATGCCTTTTCTTTTACTCATATTTTAAGACTTGTTAAGACTATCAAAAACCATAGACTTAATAATTTGAACCTAAAATCCCTATATTGGAAGTCCAATACTCAAGTTGTTATTCGGATGTGTCTCAAGGGATTTTTTTTGACTTTTGGACTATAATTTTTAAAACCGGAATGAGATGTGGTTGAATTGTTGACTTCTGGTGAGTTGGAGATGCTCTTTGCCTTGGGGTTGAAGTGGCTCACACGTAGGGAGTACAGCCTCATTGTGCAGTTTACAAGTAGAATGACCTCCACTCGATGTGCTTCAATTATAAATACAGAATTAATATATATACAATCAACCCTAATGGGTTAAATTTTCTAGTTTTCCAGGTTAATTTTTTTTAGTTTTCCAGGTGCAAGCTTTTCCAGTTGCGTATCTCACGCAAGGAGAAGCATAAACTTTGGTGCCCATTTGGTTAAATGCCCTTGAAGGAGCAGCCTCAGATCATCTGGAGACCAAGAGCTTTAATGGGGTAAAGACTGATTTTGGGCATATGCAAGGGAAGGGTGGGAGAGTTCTAAAGCGTTTAATCCGAGAGTTTGCTGATGGTCATCGCAACATCCCAAATTTAACTTGATTGCTGTCTATATATATTGTAACTTAGAGTTGATTCTGCGTGAAGCTTCATTCTCTCCCTAGCTTAGAGCACCTCTTGCAAAATGATGGCTAGTTTTCAATCTAGCTTATTGCTGGCAGAGTGTACTAGAGTCTCTTGTACAGCATTGTACCCTCCATTCCTCCAGAATCAAAACTAGGATATTCATTTTTGCGCAACCTTACATTACAATATGGTAAAACTTAATTTTGAGATTAATACAAAAGTATTCTCTCCGATTTTTTTTTTCGAACAACAAAGAATATATTTATTATCAACTTGAGTACAAGAGGTACTCAACCCATTAACTTACACAAAATAACAGCCATCCAATGTTAATTCCCTCTTTTAGACCACTTTTCAATTAATCCCACCCTTGTTACCAAACATACGTGTTGTAGGATTAATTAACAAATTTGAAAGAGTAAAGTAACACCTGGATTTTTTTGCTTTGATCCATGCAAATGATCTTAGTTGAATAAGTTCCAGCAACTTTCCCACATTCGCTCTTGTGTCCTGGAGATCTTGCGGTTTCTTGCCATCCATACTGATCATATCACAGTATTCCAAATGCAATCCCATCTTTCTGCTATATATGTGTGGGTCTTTGATCCCTGCCCCAAATTGGTCAAAAGTCTTCCAACAATCTTCATTTATTGTTGCTGTGATCCCCCACCACCTAGTGCAAGCTTTCCAAAGCCATTTACTTATTTTGCAATTTAGAAATAGATGGTTGGCATCCTCATTCTCTTTCTCGCATAATACACATTTTGCCTCTTCCATATCCTTGATGATTCCTCTTCTAAGTAGATTAGCTTTGGTAGGAATTTTGTCTAGCATTAATCTCTAGTTGAACGCAAATATCTTGCTCGGGAGCATAGGATTCCATATTCTCTTTGAAATTTTTGCTCCCTTCGATCCCCTCCGTTCTTTTGTCAACATCGAGTAAGCCATTTTGGTTGAGTAGTGACCATCCTTTTTGTGTATCCATTGCCATTTGTCAAAGCATCCAGGAGTGATCTTCACGTTGTCAAGCATTCCATGAAGTTCAATAACAGCCTCTTTTTCCCACTCGAACAGGGTTCTTCTCCATGAGAGATTCCATTTCCATGTTCCATTGTGAGTATTGCCCATTTGGTAGCATTCTTTGTGCTTCCCTATTGACAAAGGTATAATCTAGGGAATGTGTTAGCAAGACATCCCTCCCCACACCACTCATCCCACCAGAAACTCACTTCTTTACCTTCCCCTATCTTTAACCTAAATCCCTCTGATAACCATCCTACATTCTCCTCGTCTCTAGGATTGAGGTTGCATACATCTCTCCACCATAATGATCCTGTTCCTCTACCATCTCTTACCCAATCCTTCCAATTACCTCTTCCCTCGCCGTATTTTCCTTCAATTACCCTCCTTCACAACCCCTCATCCTTGGATGCTAGGCGTCCCCACCATTTCCCCATTAATGCTAGATTGAAATTCCTCAAGTCCCTCACCCCGAGTCCTCCCCACTCTTTATTTTTACAAACCATCTCCCAGCTTACCCAATTTATTTTCCTTCCTTCCCCTTCTCCCCCCCATAAGAAATTTCTATGCATTTTATCAATGGATTTGAGAATACCTGTGGGAATTCGGTAGATTGACATTAGGAAAATAGGCAGACTGGACAATACAGAGTTAATGAGCATGATCTGGCCTCCAAAAGAGAGATGTCGACCTTTCTAGCTAGTTAACTTCATTTTAAAGGATCGTAACAATGGCTGCCACATTGCTATCCTTTTATGATTCCCCCCAATTGGAACTCCCCGGTATTTGAATGGGAACTCTCCCTTTTTGCAACATAAAATGCAAGCCATTCTATCTTTCCAGCTGTCATCCACTGCGACACCCATCAACTGACTCTTTCCAAAATTGATTTTCAATCCTGATGCCATTTCAAAGGTCCTCATGATGCATTTAACCACCCTTATGTTGTCTTCCATTGCCTCACCAAAGACAATAGTATCATCGGCAAATTGTAGGTGAGACACCATTGTTGCTCCATTGCCAATCATCACTCCCTTGTATAATTCCTTTTCAACCGCAGAAGACATGAGGCCATTTAGTCCCTCCACCACAATCAAGAACAAGAAAGGGGATAGTGGGTCACCTTGTCTTATTCCTTTGCCAATAGGAAATTGTCTTGTCGGGCTTCCGTTGATAAGGACTGAAATCAAACTATTGTCAACGATTTAAATAATTCAGTAATTATCTTCTTCCATTGGAAGTAAGAGATCCTAAATTCGAGTCGCATGGCAAGGAATGAGAGATGATTGCTTCTCATTGTGCAACCAAAATAAAAAAAAAAAATCATTTTTATTAAAGACCAATTGCAGCAACATTTTGGATTGTATGTGTTCAGCACTGGTGTTGGTTGGCGGAAGGAGCAAATCAGCTCCTAAACTTGCAGAGTTGTGGCGGATTTTACTTTTTATTTATTTTCATTGGCGATCGAGGACACCTTGGTTCGTTTATTTTCAATTGACATTACCGATTAATCCTTCGAAAGAGTTTTAGAAGCATCTATGAGATTGTTAATCAAGTAATTAGCATTTATAGTGGAGAGATATATGGTAAAAGTTTTATATAAATGATATGTGTAAATTTAAATATGAGAGGATGCTAACTCAACAACATAATAATAAATTCTTCTCAAGAAAGCACTTACCATGTTAAGAAAATGTGCATCATTGAGACTTTTTTGAAATGTAGGGTTTGTCGACCCTGAGTCATGTTAATGAAACATTAATTATACCTTTTTACTTTTAATCTCTATTAGAAAATTATTAAGGTTGATCTTAACTTTATTAGTAATAACACATAGATACTTTTAATTGAACAATTAATAAAATTAATGTTATTTTTTAAATTTTCAATGCAAATTAATTATAAAAAAGTAAGATTAATTACGGGCACATGATATCTTGAAAAGTTGAAATACATGATGTAATTTATTACTCCTTCGGCTTTCATTTTGTTATCCATGTTCTAAATAAGAGTAGTTTAATTTAAGTAAAATGATTAGTACAAACTCAATTTAACATATTTTTTGATACTTTTTTTTTATTTGATTGTTAAAAAATAATATAAGTACAGTTAATTCAGTTAATTTCTACATTCTATATGTATGACTATATTTTTAAATTTATTTACTTTTAATTTTATAGTAAAAAAATAATTTTTTAATAACTTGTAGCAATTATTTTCCTTAATTTATTATCTCATTTTTTGTTTTAGTAAGATACTAAATGTTAATATTTCAATTTTACCTTTATTTTGAAGGAGATAAGAATGAATTATGTCATTCGGTCTGATTTAGTTCTTACCTTTTTATTTTAATAGGACATTAAATGTTAATATTTTTATTTTTGATAATGCTATAATTAGAATGTCATGGACGATTAACATGATATTAGATAAGTATAACGTGATATCAAACAATGGATACATACAATATTACGAATGAATTTTTGAATAAAAAAATAATTATATAATAATATATTATATTATAAAATTATAATATTATATAGTATTGTGACTTGTGAGTATAACATTTTTATTCTATTTTACTCTTATCTCATAAGTGATAGAAATACGTTAGGTTTTTTTTTTTTGTTTTTTTAAGTTTAACTGTGGGTAAAAGTAGATTAACTAAATCAGAACGGAGGAAGTAAGATATTTTGGTTTACTTATAAATAAAGGTGAAAATAGAAACATAAATTTTAATTATTATAATAAATAAAATTTTGATAATTGTAAACGAATAAAATGAGAACTAAATTAGACGAGAGAATATTTAGATTCAAATTTCTGTTTTTTAATATATTCTATTTCTACATCTCCATCATGAAGGAATCATATGAATTTTCTTTTCCCGGTGACTGTAATACACAAAAAAGAAAAGATTGTGATGATCTGTTTTTTAAAATTAGATTAGATATATTAAATAGGGACATTGATTAGTTACATTTTGATATAATAAACTACATAATATATTTGTTAAAAAATTATTATTTTTTGGTCTAAAAATTAAATTTAAATAAAGTTAAAGATACAATTATGTATATAAAAAGTAGAAACTAATTAAATTGATTGTATTTATATTATATTTTAATAATTAAACTGAGATTAATATGAAAAAATATGTTAAATTGAGTGTGTAACAATTATTTTCTTTTAAATAGTCATTTTTTAATATTTCTAAATATTAAAAATTTATTTTATTTATTGTAACATTGTCGTCCAAAGCAAGAGTTTTATACAGTGATTTCCCATGTGAGCAACAAATTGTTGTTGCTCGAACCTTGATTTGTCAGGCCTCATCTTGTTTTACATGTCATACAATCAGATCACATAAAAAAGAGAAAACGAATTATTATTATTAATTTTGTATGCAGAAAACGAATTATTCCTTACCATACGTTATTCGTAACTTTCGAGTACGTGAGCCATTCTTGTAAAATAGTGCACCCATAATTGAATTTGGATTGATTACTCACAATTTTCAGAGTTTTTCTCTTTTTTCTTGAATTTTATAACACAAAAGCGATTTTAAGGGAGTCTTTGAGCAACCGACATTGGTTAATATATTTTAAAAAATTAATTTTTTTAAAATATTAATTATAAATTTTAAATTTTAAATCTAATTTATAAAACAAAATTTATTTATAAATAAATTTAGGTATTCAACTCTTGAGATTCTATCATCGCTATCTTTATAGATAAATCACAATCGTAATTAATCGGTGTGGAGCGTCAACATGACCCAACGTCCCGCACTGGACGTTGTTGGAATTAAACTTCCCCGCACTAGACGTTGTTGGAGCTAAATAAACTTCCAAGACTCGATTGGTTGACTTGATGCTATAGGTATATACATTAAGACACTATATATTTATGCACATTGATGAGCTAGCTACCGTAACAGACAGTACGAAGTGAAAAAAACTTCAATATACATCAATCTTACGTGCTAAAAATGCACCGAATTTCTCTTATTATTTGCTGCTTTGTTGTGGCATTAATCCTCATCTTCTCACAAGGAATGGCTGCACGTAGATTATTGCCTGGAGTTCAATGTAAGCTTTCTTCTTCGTTTATGGATTAGATTAAAATTTTTGTCTATGAAT